AGTTGCCTAGGGAGGTGAAAGCAACATGTCAGCATAGGGTAGAGAGCAGCCAGGTAAGCATCAGTGTGCTAATTTTCCTGCTTCCTTCGGCATTTCTGGCCAGCTGGAAGGCCAGCCATGTAGGACAGGATAGAGAGAAGACCAGGGAACCAGTACTGTTGGTAAATACAGATTTAAGGCAGCAGAGACCCAATGGCTGTTCAGCCTTTGCAGTTCACTCTGCCACAACCAAGGCAGACAGCAGAGGAAAACCCCTGCTCTTGATATGCAAGTGAGTTCTCAGTATTAAATCCCTTTTGATTTTCCAATCAAAAAGGCTTCATGATTAGTATGGTTTCCAATTTTTGGAACTCAGCTATAGGTTCTGCTTGACTGGCAAGAACACCCTTCAGCCAGAAAATGATCCATTATACTATCTTGGAAAATGGACCTTAAAAAAGAAAATATAATGAAAGATTTAAAAAGTATTAACAGATGTGGGTGAAAGGAGTGTATCAGTCAGAAGGTTCAGGTTTAAGAGAAAGGACAAGCTGTCCAGGGAGGTTGAGGATGGGTTGTTTGCAAACTGAACCCTATATTCCCCACAGAGATCTGACGTTGAATGGGACTCTACCCCAGTCTGACAGGAGCCTATCACTGCTTCCTTTAGGCACCAGACTTTGTCTGCTATCTGCAAATTCAGTTTTCTGGTCAGATCCAAACAGCTGACCAAATCTGGACAGATGTGGTATTTCACCCACAGCTATCTCTTATCTGATAAAGTTCAATCACATTCATTAGCACAACACCTGCCAATGAGCTGAAGCCCTGAGATTAAAAATACTCAAAGCCTCCTCTTCTCAGTAAATATCTGAACATTCAGTGTGGTCAATTACAGCTCCAGGAACTCAAAATTTAAGGCAAATTAAAATGACTCTTATTAATCTAAAGAGCCCAAGAGGTCTTGGACTGGGATCTGGTCTAACAATGTCAAGGACAAAGAACAGGAAATATAGTAGAACAGACTTAACATTAGAGGCCATAATATTTGCCAACCATCAAGATATTTTTTTAAAAAATACATATATTTTTTAGAATTTTTATTATTGAATATTTTAACACCAAACTTATACCCTCAAATAACTGCTGAATTATTGAACAGCAGAGTGAGTGCTGCTACACTGCAAATGTGCTTGCAGACTGGAGACTCAAACACAGGAAAAGGCTGGCAGGGGATCCTACTGGCAGAACAGAGCACACCTACAGAGCCAGAGGAAGAAAATAACCTGCAGTAAAAGCACAGCTCTGGGAAGGAGATCTTAGTTCTATTCCCAGCTGTCTTCCATCCAGACTTCACTTCCCCCTTTTGTAGGCTGAGGATGATATGCTTATCTGCTTCCCAGGCAGTCTGAAAGCCCACTTAATCAGTATTAGCAAATCGCTTTGTTTTCACAAACTGCCCATCACCTTAGAATCACAAAGGAAAATTATAGCATATGCACCATACAGTAGTCAGGGGAGAGAAGGATGTTTTTTTTTTTTTTTTCCTTTAGTGAAAGATGTTGTTTTGGAGCCCTGTTTTAGCAACCTTCATGAATACATCTTGAAACTATCTCTCTGGAAGGAAGACAAATCAATTTTAATCTGCTGCCTGTTTATCCTACTGTAAATCAAACAGACCCAATCTGCCCTTGCAGAGCAAGCCGTGTTACGCTGCGCTCGTGATGCACGAGGGGATTCATGCGGCAGCGGGGCGCGCGTCAATGCGGGGAGCATATTGATTACTCTTAACTGCCGAGCGCAAGAGCAAAGCCTCCCGGCCGTGCACGCCTGCCTGCCGCGCACATCTCATTGCTCCTGGCATTACTCAAGTATTGAGATCCTGGCTTCTTCATCTACAGATAAAAAATACCATTTTTATCTTTACTATTCAAGGTTTAGTATCTATCTGATACTTAGGGAGAGTGAATGAAAACCTCTGGCTCATGCTCATTGCCTGGCACAGAAGCAGCTTATTGCTATAATTAGCTTTAGCTCACACGCTAGCAGGCATGCACATATTGCCTTAGAAGCAGCTAAGTCTTAAACCTGAGCATCTAGTTCTATCTAGTTAATGTGTACTAAGTGAAATGGCTGCCCATAAATTGGCAGCTTCACTTGTAGACTCCTGTCCAAATGTCTCTAAGCCACTATTTCACACAGATAATATTGATGAAGTGGTTCTCTGCAATTCACTAAGCAGTCCTTAAAAGCATCATAGGTGAGAAGGGGAGTTGAGTGCAGGGTCTGCAGAAGCTGCGCAGCCTCAATACACAAGCAGCATGGGAACAGTGAGCTGGGCAACCTGGACACATCACAGCAGCATCCATCTCTTGGGAATTTCTTTCAAATGACTCAAGGTAACAAAGATACGACTGAAACTTCATTGATGAATTAAAATAATTCCTGTGACTTAAAATAATCATAATGAATATATTTTCTAAAGTAATAGGCTTTTATTTTTCTTTTTCTCTCCAGGTATCTTCAACTCAAAACTTCAGCTGAATTCTCTGGAGATCCTGACAGAAGGGATCAGGTGAAAAGGGTGAAAGTCTGAAAAATCCATCAATACTTCCAAAGCACTATAAAGATTTACCAAAGCATTTTAAAGCCTGAACATGCTAAGTACACAAAGAGTCAAGCTCATTCAACCTCTACAGTCTTTTGCCCCATAGAACTGTGATTATTTCCTAACAGTGACCAGCAGAGTACTTGAATCTTCTATATGACTTTTTTTCCACTACTAGTATACCTCAGAATACAGCAGTGCCTATCAGCAGTTTAAGCAGCATTAATTTAATAACATCCCGTATCTAGCCCTCTCACACCTTTCTGAACAATTTATGAACTTTCAAAAAATGCCACAGTTCAAAACATCACTGGATGATGAAATACTGGAAATGCAGCTGAAGTAGATGCTGATTAAAGTCCTATAAAAATACTGAGGCAAATTTAAGTGGGTTGTTTCCCTATCAACTTCTTTCCTCATGCATCTCAGGAAGCTTTCATTTGAGTTTGTATGCAGTGTTGTGTCTACAAGGACTACACTATTTCAAAGTAGCTGCTCTTTTACTTTGAACAGAGGAAAACATTTTAACAGCTGCCGCAGTGAGAGATACTATCTACCTGCTTAGCTAATCCATCTATCCTTAACCTGAGCAGAAAAGCCACAGTGACACAGCAAACTACTTACTAGCGCTTCAGAGAGTCCATTCAGGATTAGCAGGGGCTGAAATGCCCTGTGCCTCCGATCAGAAGATTTACTCCCCGCAGCGTTCAGACAGTTGGTCCCATGAAGGCCACGAGGCGGCTGCGTTAAGGGGTGGCCCTGCACGGACACAAACAGCTTGTCAGCGCCAGCCAAAGAGGCGGGCCGGCCGGCGGCCGCCCTGCGAGCCAGATCAGCCTGCGCGCAGCCGGGCTGCTCCTGCCAGATACCGCCCCTCGTTCCCGAGCGGGCACCCACAGGAGCTGCCTGCAGGGACACAGGCCTCGTTTGCTGCTAAGCAGCAAAACGGTGACAGCGGAAGGAATACACCATCACTAAGTGACCCCAGGGAAAGCACATGCTTGCTGCACATATATGTAAGTGCTGTTACAAAGCCCCCAGGCATCACAGATGCATAGATGGGCTTTAAGGTCAACAAAAAAAAAAAATACTGTGAATTAAGATCAGCACATCCACTGTAAGGAAGTTTCCCCTGCAAGGTCTTTCACCTTTTTTTTCTTATCCTCATCCTCATTAACAGAGGCACTTTGCTTCCCACAGCAGACTTTTCTTATGTGTTGTCTGTCACAACTACCTTACCCTGACCTTCTGGACCAGGGCCCTTCACTAGTCCCAGTACAGCTACTTCCCTTTGCTAACTGCTTCTTTCAGTCCTGCTCTCCCGCAAATCACAGACATCTTAGGCACCTCAGGGTGATTTTTTTGTGAAACAGCCAAGCTGATCTAGCAAATTATTGCTGCCAAAAGTGGCAGTTCAGGGTCTCCTCTCTCCTCATGCCCCACTGCCATTTCATGGGGAGGTAAAGGCACAGAATTGAGTAGTTGTAGCCATCTCTACAAAGAGATAAGACATACTGCACACTGTGATACTCCCTGAAATTTAAAGATTTAAGGTACTCCTTATCTTGCCACAGCCACAGAAATTAATCTGTGATCCCACCTGCCTCCCCATGTTCCCATCTCCTTTGTTGTTTGGACTGAATTGTTCCCAGTTAATTGAATGTGCTGCTTACAGCTGCTGATCTCATTTCATCCCAGCTCCGTCCTACTTACTTATTCTTCCAGTTTGGCTGCCTGGCCTGCCTGCCACCAAAATCAGACTCATCAAGTCTCTTACAGCAGCTCTCTGGATAAATATCATGTTTTGTACTTAGGCCTCATCTTCAAGCTCATTTCAGCTTTGGAAATAATGAAGATTTTCTTTAAAACTCAAACTCGTGTTGTTTGTTTGTTTTCACTGTTTTTTACTCTCCTCTGATTAATTTTTCTCTCAGCATCTACATCTTCCTCCCTCACACTCTCAAGGCAGCCTACCCTCGTGCTATCATCCTTTCTGCCTTTACATACTCTATTTGCTTGTTCAGACTCCTGTAGGACTATTACGTCAATAATTTAGAGCTGTAGCTTTCAGCAAGATTATTTTTCTTTTTTGCTTTCCTCTGATTCCTTATTTTAGCCTTTGTTTTAGGCACATTGCATTAATTGCCTTAACAGCTCCTAATTTTAAGATCCTTTTCTGGGTGCAAATTCATGCAATCCCATCACACCGCATCCTTTAACTGCCCTTAGTCTTGGCACAAGCCCTTTCCCTCCTTTACTGGAGCCAGCGGGAGCGGAGCCCCCCGCGGAAGCAGACGCCGACAGACACTCGGAGGTCGTCGTTCCGAGGGCCGTCGCCGCAGGACGCCCCGCTCGGCCGCGCGCAGGCTCTGCTGCGCAGCGACGCGCACCCCACACGGCCCTCGCCTTAACGATGTCCGAGGCGGCACTGCGAGCAGAGGGAGTCATCAGCTGCCGCCTGAGTGTAACCCACACTGCTTGTGCTTTTATCCAGGCTTCCCGCTCCGTTGACCCTATACTGTCCACACTAAGAGCATCACTATTTTGCTACAGCTGCTTTTTTTTTTCTTCTAGCATTTCTAAAATCCAAATCTCTGCTCAGACCTATCTCTGACACTTACCCTCACTGCCGAGCTTGGATCTTGCTCCCCATGCACCTGCACTGTTCTCCCCTCCTCCTCAGGACATTCAGCAACTGAGGTCATCTTTTGTTCCCTCCCCAAGCACATTGCCCACACACCCATGAAAACCAAGCTTTCTTGTTCCGAGCTGCAAGGCCTTTTCAGGCTTTCTCCTTTCCTATTGATGAGCTCCCACGGCTCTCTTCATCACAAGGCCTGTCTTTTCAGCCTACTTCTCTCTTCCTATAAAGCCCTCTTTTTTCCCCATCTCATCCTGTATGCACGCAATGCACTGCCTGATCAAATCGAGACATTTATTCCCTTTTCCACAATCTATAACTATCACAAAATACAGAAAATGTGTGAGAATGAGGGTGAGGAGCAGTAGAAAAATGCATGACAAGTCACAACAGAAAGATGTTCCATCTGCATGAATAGATTATATGTGCTTTTCTATCAATCACATGCCATATGTTATGCACCCTTACATTTGAGACAGGCTAGCCATCAAAATTCCTTGATGGATATGAATGAAGTGCCTGCATGTGAAATTGTGAAGAGGGCCTGAACTACTATGAAAAGACTGTTTGTAGATGCACAAGAAAGAAAGCTGGCTATTGCATCTCCGATTCCCATGGCAATGTAAGATGCTAATTCAGTGTAGCCACCAGCAAACAAAAGAGAGCAAGAATGAGCTGATTTAGGGGACTAGGCTGAAAAGGCACACTTTAAACAAAGTCACCATGGGTACAACTCCTGTGACTCTGCTCAAAGACTTATGCCAAGGATGAAGTTGCCTCTTTGTCCTTAAGCCTTGCATGACCCATGGAAATTGTGACTAGCACTGCCAAGGATGCAAACCCAAGTGCTATCTGTGAGGGAGCCTTCACAAGATCACCAGCCTGGTTTAAAAGCTCTGTTTTTTTTACCAAAAGGGTGGTCCTGCCCACCCCTTTCCCCTGCACATGCCTTGTCCTCTCCCTTACACATGCTCCAGGAAGGGCAGGAAGGCTCAGAGAGCCAATTCAAATTGCCAGCTGGATTTTCCAGACAAGCTGATGATCTGACTCGGGTGTCAAACTGCACAGGGAAGCAGTGAACACACATAGCTGGAAACAAGAGAGCAAAAGAGGTGGGGATTGGGATCACCCCTTTCTTTTTCTAAAGCAGCAAGCTAGCTGTCATCACCAGAAACCTCAGTCCATTCTGTGGTAGAACCTAAGACCATGACCACCAAAACCACACCACTCTCAAATGCAAGGTCCCAAAAGCTCCTGTGGCCTCAGGTTTTATTTCCAAGCACTGAAATGTTTTATTAAAATATATTTTCCAGTGGAAAGCGAGATTCTGTTTTAATTAAATGCAAATTTCTGAAAATATAGTAATTGGAGTTTCCAGGAATGGGGAATGATTTTTATGGGTAAAAAAAAAAAGAAACATTTAATTTCTTTTTACAGTTAAAGATAAAGGTTATGTTAGGAATCACCACTTTGCCTTCATGCTGTTCTGCAAGCTCTAAAAGGCAGCCTCTAGACTGTGCCCTTAGTTAGGGCCATCCATGTGGCTGTCTTCTATTATCAACTCTTTGCTTAACAAAACTTCTTTTGCCTTTCTGTGGCCCCAGCCTAGCCTCACTCTCCGCTTCCCAAAACAGAATCCCAGCCTGATCCCATTTGCTAGCCCCCTGGAGAGGCTAACTGGGGAACCCAGGGCCTCTCAAGGCTCAGCCCAACCAGTGGCGCCTTGGCAGGCAGGAGACACCTGGCACTTCTGCAGCAACAGCAGCAGACCCCGCAACACGCAGGAGGTTCCTGCATGTTTTACTGGCCTGGTTTCAATTATCAAGCAGGTCACAAGTTATTACCAGAAAAAACAAGCTCAAGCAACTAAAGAATCTGGATAGTTACAAAAGGGAAACTTCTTTTAGAGACCGTAGAGGATTTTTTTTTCTTGCTTAAGAAAAGCAAAACACAAATGGCAGAGACAGCAAGGGCAGAGATCATGTGCAGATGTAGTGCACCAACATACTAGGCTGCAATCAATGGGAACTTGGGCTTAATCCCAGCTTAGACCATGTGCATTTTGAACTTTGAGCTCTTGGACCATTTCCTAATTAGAGAGCGAGCAATGCACTGTGGAAATATTTAACCCTTTTATAGTGCTTCCCAGGAGCAAGTGCTTAAAGACTCTAGGAATGTGCCTGAACACTGGAGGCCACATCCAACTGCAGGAAACATCCCTGGGCTCCAAGAAGTTTAGCAAAACCACAGCCATCTCCCCCCCACCAGCTCTCCTTCTAGAACCTCCCTCTGTTCAGGGCTTTCCATGTCCCCTTGTCAGTAAGGCCACACCAGGGATCGGATCAAAACAGAGATACTCACCTGGAACTTGATAGTGTAAATAATGCCACAGGGCCCAGCTTGGCTCTCTACTTTGCAGCCACGAAGCAGCAGACTATCATAACAAGTCTAATTGCACCCCAGGATATACGCATAGGCATATACGCAAAGTATTCATAACATAATGGTCATGGAAAGAGACAAGGGTTAGACAGCCTATGTATATCAACAACTGACAATTTCTACCCTGTCACTGGGTTTCTAGATAAGCCATTTCAGCTTTTATATCTCTCTCAAGTGGCAATATTATCTCTTACCTATTCCACACAACTACTACTGTGTGGATACATTCACACCACTTTGAAGTCCTACCACTGATGAGACAATTTGCTATTTCTTGCATCCTCTATTTGATAAATGCAGCCTTCTAGAGCCAATAACTAGTCACTATTTTCACAGTTACACAATAACCAGTCAGGAGAAGTTCCTCCCCGCCACTGCACCCCAAGAAGAACTTGGTGGATGATTTAATTCTTCTAATTTGAACTTTCTACAATTTACTGGGATGCCAACAGGAGTTGGGAATTTCAGTGCATTGAAAATTAAAATTGGAGAGCAGGCCATAAGCATCTCTACTCCATTCAGATCAACTGATTCAGTTTTTCTGTAAATTGTCTAATTTTTCCTGTGCCCCTCTTTCTCATCAATCATTCCAAACATAACACAAATACACTAACAGAAAGAGAGGCATGTACTTGGGTAATGATTAACTTTGGGAATGGGGAGCCCAGCATATCTACAAGATGAAATTCTCCCTCCACCAGTTCACCCTTGAATTTCATTCAGTCCCCTATCCAGGTTTAAGGATGACTTGTTCCTCCCTTTGAAATTAAATAAAATAATAATAATGCTGAAACACCTCCTGGCTCTGATTTGGTTTAGAGATCACAAAATTATTTTAGAAGGGCAAATTATTTTGCCTTTAGAACAGAGCTATATTCAGAGCATCAGATACTCCGAAAAGGAACCACCAACACCAGTAACACCTATCCTCAAGTGGCACAAGATGACTTGTCTCCACAAAATACTTTTCTAAATAATAGTATAAACATTCCTGGCAGTAGCTTTGAAACAGACAAGCTGGCATGGAAAAAACATGCCACAGCCCACCTGAGGCAGGATCTCTGCACCATGGCCTTAGTTAAATCAGCTGTCCCAGTTCCTTACACTTCTGAGGCGATGTCTGTGGTAAGCAAAGAGCTCAAGGGAGATATTCAGAGGAGCCCTTTATGAAGACCTTGCCATCATATAACAAAAAGGTTTGATTAATAATAGGGCTGCCCTCCAGAGAGCCATGACTTCTGCTCCCATTTTAACTCTTCTTGTACTGAACTCAGCAGTAAATACCCCATTTGCTTCTGTGGCACAGGACCAAACCTCTGCATCAGCAAGAGCAAAGGATGCTCAGATACCAGGAGCTATTAACCCATCACTTAGATTAGCAATGCAGTGACCTTGATGCAAAGCAAGCACTTTAATATGCACTTTCCTTCTAAGCACAGGAGTGCTCCTGCTGATTTCACTGTCACATCAATGAGGTCAGCCATGGATTTAGCAGAAATGGGGAGGAATTAACTCGCCCTCACACACTCTTCCTCTGAGGAGTGGCCAGAGCACCCGCGCCACCCCTTGCAGATGCGGCTGGTTCGCGCACCCCTCCCGCGCCCGGCACGGACCCGCCACCCAGCTCTCCTTCAAGGGGATCACCCCAGCTTTTTACATCTGCTCAAGCAGGAGGGGGGACCATCAAGGAAATGCTATTCCCAGCTTTACTTATAGAACTCACTCCCACTTGGTAAGTCAAGAGAAAGTAGGCTAGTTACCTAGCATATGGAAAAACTTAAATAATTTAATCACCTGAAATTTAACTGCCAAGGCACAAAGGTTGGAATCATCCAGTTGAAGGAACAAATGCTTTTCAAGACAGTGGTGTGTGCTTACAGAAGACCCCAGGTCTGTGTGTTCATTATTCTCATACAACTGGCTAATATGAGACAATTTTGAAGAGTTCAGTGTGTTCAAGTTAGGCTCCTTATCATAGAATCATAGAATCCTTAAGCTTGGAAGGGACCTCTAGAGGACATCTAGTCCAACCCCCCTGCACACACAGGGTCACCTAGAGCACGTGGCACAGGACTGCGTCCAAGCGGGTTTGGAAGATCTCCAGAGAAGGAGACTCCACAACCTCTCTGGGCAGCCTGTTCCAGGGCTCTGGCACCCTCACTGTTAAAAAATTTTTCCTTAAGTTCCTGTGGAACTTCTGGTGTTTCAGTTTGTGGCCATTACCTCTAGTTCTGTTGGTGGCCACTGCTGAAAAGAGGCCAGCACCATCCTCCTCACTGCTTCCCTTGAGGTACTTATAGACACTGATTAGGTCCCCTCTCAGCCTTTTCTTCTCCAGGCTGAACAGGCATGATAACCAAAGTCTATAAAATCAGGGCCAGGCTAGTTTGCCAAGCATAGCCTTTGTTGTAGAGATCTGAACAGCAGGAGAGAAGAAAAAGGAGCTTAATATCAAAAGACATTACAGTATTTAGGCAGGTAAGAGAATCCAATGAAAATCTATATGTCCCTTGATCCACGTACCATATGGCTAAAGCTGTCATGTAACTCAGACCAAACCACCAGCCACCTAGATTTAATTATGCCATAGCATTTTATAGCAGCCTAAGGAAAATGCAGTACAGGTCAAAACACTCCCAGAGTAACTCCTCAGACGCTGGTTAGAAACAGAGCAGAGCGCATCAGCAGGCTGATCGTGCAAGTGTTTCCGTTAAAGGCAAGGACGAGCAGCAAGCCCCTAGACAAAGGGATTGCTGCCGAAGGAAAGCAGCAGTTCTACTACCCCACGCCACACAGCCCTTTCAGTTCAGGCAGAACTACTAGGACAGGTTTTCTGAATACATGCAGAAAAAGAAAAAAGTAAAATCTTTTTATAGTAATATCAAATCAGTTCCACTTCCATTTGCTTTTTGTCACTAGTTTTTACCTGCTATCAAAGAAAAATCAACATTTCTATAGCATTCAGTCTTCCCAGTGCTCCATAGGTAATGGATATGCTGCCTCCTACTCAAACCAGGCCTCCCTCATTTATGTTAAACAGGCCCAGCTGCCTGATGCAACCCAGTTCCCCACCCTGGCCTTCATGATGACCCTGTCTACAATGTGGATTAAAATATAGCCCACAGAGCGCTGTTTTATTTGCATGCAAGGAACAAAGACGTTTGTGAGGCGACGCTGCATAGAAGCAGCACTGTCTCTGCCCTGCATTTGGATGAACAGTGGGCCTTGAAAATGTCTGTGTATTTGTTTGTGTATTTGTCAAGATCAGCAGTGTGGCCTGCCTAAAGGAGGCTTCTTGCTCTGAATTGACCATTGTTAGCTCTTGATTGTCACCAGAAAGATTTCAGAGAGCTCAGATCAGAAGGATGCTCTGACAAGACATAGAACTACACAATTGCTTGAATAAATGAAGATATCTTTAAAAATCTATTTCTCCATCATGGTGATGAGGAGAACTTCGTTCTCACTGGCATCCCCTGACATCATGACACTTAAAACATACGTGAATCCCTTGATATTCCAGAGCAATCTACACAGCATGTTGTTTAAAGATGACAAATGACAAAGTGCACATAATTCAGAGCAACAAGACACAAGCACCTGTTAACAGAGTGCAGCTCCAGGAAAACTTACAAAGGGAGTGTTTGCAGATTTAGGATTCTGTTCAGCTTCTCAATAAGGCAAAGATTTATATTTTCCTGTTAGCATTTCCATAAATGAAATGAAGAGGTATGGACAAATCTTCCTTTCCCATCTCCAGTAATTTTAGTTTCCACAGCAAGCTTCAATGACACTTTTCAGAACAGGAAGAACCCACAGAGACTTAATACCATCCTCAACAGCATGAATCACCATTCACATTTCTTTTGAGAAATCTTATCACAGCCAGACTAAGAAAACTGTCACTTGAAGGTATTGAATGTCATGATACCTGCTCAAAGTAGCATATTTTTCCTTGTTTGTTGCACATTTTTAGTTTATTTTGATAGCAACATTTGTAAGCATGATAATCTCATTTCTGTATTAAAAGATCCTGCTTTCAGCAGTTAATAAACTGCCTATCTTTAGTAGGTGGGGTGAATTTTTGTGCTAGATGTTTGCCTTATTAAAAAAATTCAAACAAAAACAAAATCATGCAGTTATTCTCAAGAATAAGGTTAAGGAAAAAAGCGCGTTGCATAAAAGTACTCTGGTGTCTTTTCTGAGAACCACCCAAAATTCTACGCTTTGTAGCAAGATCCTGAACATTAATCAATAGGGAGAAACTTTATTCCAAAATCTGTTTTTAAAACATATCAACTTACATACTAATTTCACTGCATCCTAACGCATAAATTTGTAGATATGTTTTAGACCTTGTTACTATCTTTAGTCACATTAACAGCATTGATTAATATTTGAAGTAAGCCTGCTCTGGACTGCTAACTTTTGACACCAATTAAAGACTTCTGTCCTTATTGCATAAGCAGTTAATGAGTTAAATCCCAATTTTCTTTTTTCTCTCCAAAGCAATTCTACAAAACATAACAACTACTGTAGGGATTAAATAGTTAATGCAGAGTATACTAATAGACTGGTCAACACTTAATCTCAAAGTGCAAGGACTCTTGATAAATGGCATGACAGGAGGCTCTGCATGGAGGGGTTGCCTATCTGCAAGGACTCCTGATAAATGGCATGCCAGGATGTTCTGCATGGAGGGGTTGCTTATCCAGATGTTCCAGTCAGCAATAAAATACAGTTAACATTGACGTGAAAGCAAAACAGGAAAACGGGAGGGGGAACATTCTTGGGGTGGGAAGGGTATAAAAGCACGGAGTGCGAGGTGGCCGGGGTCCGTGGTGTAACCCCTGCGTGGGAAAAGCCCGGACCCCAGCTAGCTGGTAATACTTATTATCTTTCTCCTATCATTAAAAGCATAACATATCGATGGTGTTTGCCTCTCTTCCTCGATTCGAAAAACGGACCCAACATCTGGGGGCTCGTCCGGGATTCGAATCCGAGAGAGAAAGAAATAGAGAAAGATAATTAGACAAGGGAGGCTTCAGGGGGTGGGCCGACAGTAATCCAGCTGGATTCCTGAAGGATAATCGGCTGGAGTCCGAGGGAAACGTCCCTCAGACTCCCAGGAAAGGGAAGGGTGGTTGGTTGGGTACACCGTTTCTCCTCAACGAAGAGAGACCGGTTTGGGAAGGGAGAATTCTGTTAATAATCGCCCTTACTGGTTTACTGGCAGTTGTATTAATTTTGGTTTTAAGTGACAAGCTTGATACCATGGGACAGGGGAAATCCACTCCTTTGTCATTAATGTTAAATCATTTTGGATATGTTAAGCATCGGGCACATGATTTATCTGTAGAAGTGTATAAAAACCGATGGGAGGTATTTTGTACAAGTGAGTGGCCAAGTTTTGACGTAGGCTGGCCGAGAGAGGGAAGTTTAGATTTAGAATTGGTACGGAAAGTAAAAGAGATAATAATGAGACCTGGGTCGGAAGGGCACCCAGATCAATTTCCATATATAATCACCTGGGAGGATTTGGTTTTGCATCCACCCCCATGGTTGAAACCTTTTGTGGGGGGGGATGGAAAGAACGAAAAAGTTGATATTTATGTAATGAAAAAGGAAGGGAAAAAGCCGGTATTATCAGATTCGACTTTATATCCAGAAATATTGGATGAAGAAAGTGGGCATAATCCCCCCCCTTACGCACCTCCACCCGAGGCACGAAGGGAGGTGAGTAGTAGTGATCAAAGGAGGGAGGGAGGGGAAGGCAGGGGCCCAGCGAAAGGGGAGACGAGGGAGGTGTGTCAAGCACCTCTCAAGCTTTCCCAGTTATAATAATTGGAACAACAGGGCCTCAGGGACAGCGTACGTATCAATACTGGCCATTCTCTTCTACTGACTTGTATAATTGGAAAAGTCAAAATCCCTCTTTTTCCGAGAAGCCAAGAGCATTGGTTGATTTATTAGAATCCATCCTGTTCACACATAACCCTACCTGGGATGACTGTCAGCAGCTTTTAAAAGTGTTGTTCACAACCGAAGAGCGTGAGAGGATCCTGACCGAGGCACGAAAGTTGGTGCCGGGAGAGGACGGGAGACCCACCGTGCAGCAGAACCTTATCGATGAGGGATTCCCGTTGGTAAGACCGCCGTGGGATTTTGAGCAACCCGAAGGTAGGGAGCGTCTCCGAACATACCGGCAAACATTGATAGCAGGGTTGCGGGCGGCGGCGCATAACTTAACTAAAGTAATTGCTGTCAGGCAGGAAGCCGAAGAAACCCCTGCTGCTTTCTTAGAAAGGATATTAGAGGCGTTTAGACAATTTACTCTTCTGGACCCTATGAAGGAAGAAAATCAGGCAGCTGTCATCTTGGCATTTGTAAATCAAGCTGCCCCGGATATAAGAAAGAAATTGCAAAAGATTTATAGATTGGGGGAACAAACTATACAGGATCTTTTAAAGGTTGCGGAAAAGGTGTATAATAACAGGGAAACTCCAGAAGAAAAGCAGGAGAGAATGAGAAGGGAAGATTGGAGACACCAAAGGGAAATGGCTAGAATATTTTTTGAAGCAGGAGAAAAGTCAG